GATATATACTTGTCGAAAGATACATATCTATGATGTGAATAGTTTTACTTCCTGTAAACCAACACTAAAAATGTACAAGTATAAAATATTGACATCGAGGCGAACAAGTATATGAATCTTTTTACAGGTCATATCTTATTTCAATAATATACAAGCGATTTGCTCACATAAGTTATGCTTTCTCTACCTTTTTTCAAATGAAAGAGATTACTTTTTTTGAACATATGCATATATATATTAACATTTTTATTTATCATAAATCAGTGATGACCAAATTACACTTAATAATACTGATAGATTTCAAATTAGTGTAAACTTTTTTTTTTATTAAAAACATTTAACATTGCAAAACTATAAAAAAAATTTATAAGCTGTAATAACAAGATGTGTACCTTGTATTAAAGAACAAAAGAAATATATTTTTCAAATAATAAAATAAGAAGCTTCTACCAGGCCATTACAATAAACGAGCTTTGGAAGATGTAAACAGTAAACCTTTATTATTCTTTTATTATCATTTCACGGAACGTTTCAACCATGCTAAGTTCTCATCAGCTATGTCTATAAATGTATATTAATATAATTAATATTATACATCATATAATATATAATTATATTAACCGGAAAACATTTTTTATACCATTACTGGAAATAATTTCTAAGTTTTTAATATGTTTACATAAATTATATAAATTATTGTTTATATAAATTATTGTTAAGAGTTTTTATTTCATTTATAAATACGGCTAATGAGGACTTAGAATAATAAAGGTTTATTGTTTACATCTTTCAAAGCTCTATTATTATAATGGCCTGGCTCGTTTATTGTTAATGCTTAAAAGCTCCTTATTTTATTGTTTGAAATTTATACGAGCGAATTATCTAATATATTTTTTATTAAATATATTTTTATTGTAATATGCAATTTCTATTAAGAATATAAATGATATAATCATGTAAAGATGAAATATATAGATTAGGTACAGTTTATAAAAATTTGTGCATCACTGATATGAAAAATAGATTATAAAGTATAGAAATTGTAAACGGGATCAAATTATACTTGAAAGATGTAGTCTGAATGAATGTATTAGACTTTACTGACAATATTTCAAATACAAATTGAAAATCTAGAATGCAATTAAAATTATCAAAGGCTAATTATAAAAGATAAAATAAAATTTCGAAAGTGATACACAGAATTAAAAGATATTATGCATTTATATCATTTAATTTGTGATATATTGAATTATTACGTACAAAATAAACAATCAAGAATATATCAATTTAAACTTTGTTGTAAAATTACGCTATTTCTTAAGCAACAATGGAATTTGAACAGAATGTAATGCAGAACAGTATAGTTCTCAGAAAATGTTTAAAATTTTTCTTGTTAATTCTAATCATTTTTTTTTTAATTATTTTTCCTTCGCTCTTATGTTACAAATTAAATAGACTATTGATAAATGTTGGATAACTCTTCAGATAATTTCTTTTCATCATCCAGCTATTGTCAATATAACTGCAGAATTCCAATTGTAAAATCAATGATATCAATATTCGGACATGATTTTATTACAAGGAAATTTTTTTTGCAGAAAATGAATGGATGTGATAAATTAACTATATAGTTATCACTAACTAAAGAGGCAGTGCTCGGTGGCGCGTTCCAAGTCCCAATTATATGAAGATAGAGCGACTCTCGCGTTATGTTCTTCGATTCCCATATCTGTTAATCTTCTTATCTTGTCATCTAAATCAGGCATTTTCGTTGGCCCTAGAGAATCAATATAAATGAGTATTTTAACAAAAAAAAAAATATATATATATACATACATACATAAAATGCGCGAATATATACGCAGGAATAATGCACGTACCACCTGCATATATAAATGTCCAATGTGTGGCAGTTTGACGAAACAATTCAGGATGTTCTTTATATTGTTTAGCGACTACTGCATCCTGAGGATCATCAGGTTCTGCTGCAGATAATAACGCTTGAAGCGATAGCAGTACCGTACGCAAAGTCATTGCGGCAGCCCTTAAATATGATAATAATGAGATTATTTTACAGATGCATAATTATATTACATATAAAGTCACAAGATTAAATTTAAAAAATATGTAAATACATAATCAAATATATAAACAATAAATAACAAATATCTTTTCATTTAGTAAAAGAAGTTGTAAAATTATATAAATATTAAATAAAAGTTTTTGCTATACAAACATTCATAATTTAATTAATAAATTTATAATAAAAATACATGCCATTGATCTTTCAAAATATCCAAACATATGGCACCAGTAACAGAAGATATATTGGGATGCCATATTTTTGTTATAAAACGTACCTGCAAAATATAAATTTTATATAATACAAAACTTTTGACAATTTATTTATGAAAACTTGAAATTTATTTTATCTATTATGAATATTTAAAATACAGTATACAAATTTATACTGAAGACATAATATATTGATAATATATGTGTTGTCAATTTATGAAAATCAATAAAATGATAAGATTTATAATATTCATGTCTTATGAGTAACTTTGTTATATTATTGTATTGTAATAAAAAAAGATAATAGACATTTTTTAGAAGCTATGCTTGCTACACAAATATTAAAAAAAAAAAAAAAAAAAAAAAAAAAAAAAAAC